TGAGGAGCAGGGCCAGTTCCCCTGCTCTCAGGCCCTCAGATCCAGGTCCCTCTTATTCATATTACCAGGGCTCTACTGTTTTGCCCAGACAAAGTGCTGGGCCCTCTCTCCTGATTGCTGTAGGGGGAATGTGTGTGTGTGTGTGGGGGGGGGGGATGGGTTCAGCTCTCCTACACTCATGTCCTCAGGGTTGGCTCACCTGTACCTCGACAACAGAGTCAGCTGTAGTGTGCTGCCTAGGTGAGGTGCAGGGCCTGCTCTTCTGTGTGCTGCAGCTAGTGTGGGGCAGAACTAGTTTCCTCTCTTTTGTAACCCCAGGGCCAGCCATCTCATCTGCTACAGATAGCAGGGATTGAAGCGGGGAAGGCATCTTTCCATCACCAATGCCACTACGTGGCAGAGGAGGTGGTGCAGGGTCAGCTTTCCTGCTCTCATGCCCTCAGGGTTGGCTCACCTGCGTTCCTGACCACAGGGTCAGCTCTGGTGTGCTTCCCAGGTGAGGTACAAGTCTGTGGTGAGGGGTGGGGCCATCTTTCCGGAGTGCAGGGGAGAGCTCTCCCCGAGGGGTATTGCCAGATGGCCTGCTGCAGTATCCAGTGAGGAGCAGGACCAGCCATCCCAGGGCCAGTGAAGGGCAGGGCCAGCTTAGCACAGCATGGTTCCAATGACTTCTTGCTAACATGGGCCATGGACATCACCACAGACCCCAGCTGCAGCAGGAGCATGGACCCAGACATGGCCCTCAGATTACCATGCCCAGGGTGGCAGCATGGGCCCCAGGCACCAACATGGTCCCAGGTGGCTGGCCAGACCCCAGGCATCTGCAGAGCCCTCAGTGGCCACTGGAGCCACAGACACCACACCAGACCTCAGTCTCTATAGGGCCATGGACTCAGACATGACCCTTGGCCGCAGCCTGTGCCTAGACATCTCCTTGGCTCCTAGTGGCAGTATCAGCCACCCAGATAAGCATGGCCCTAGGCACGGCACAGTCATTGGGCACCAACATGGTCAGCCATCCACATGACCCTTGGTAACATCAGGACCCTATTAGGAGCCCCAGATATCAACTCAGATGCTGGCTGCTGTAGGGCTATGGGCCCAGACATGGCTCTCTGCAGCAGCCCTGGCCAGGATAACACCATAGCCCCAGGTGACAGCACAGGACACTGACCAGGATGTCCCTGGTGGTGGCATGGCTTTCAGATGCCCTCATGGCCACAGGTTGTGGCCCAGACCCTGGGCATCTATGTGGCCTTTGGTGACAACATGGGCCACAGACATCAATACAGACCTTGGCTGTGGTAGAACCATGGAACCAGACATGTTCCTAGATAGCATCCTGGGCCCAGATGTCATCATGGCCCCTGGTGGCGGTGCAGGACACCCAGACCAGCAAGGCCCCCAAAACAGCATGGCCCTCAGACAGCAACATGGCCCCAGGTGGAAGCCCAGACACCCAGCATCACCATGATCTTCAATGATCTCAGGAGCCACAGACATCAACACAGACCCTGGCTGTGGCAGGGCCATGGACACAGACATGGGTCTCAGCAGCAGCCCTAGTCTGGATGAAACCATGGCCTCAGTTGACATCCCTGGCCACCCAAATTGGTCTACTCCCACCCCTGGCAGCACAGCCCTCAGACACCAACATGGCCTCGGGTGGCAGTCTAGACCACAGGCCCTTGCACGGCCCCCCCCAGCAGCCACAAGAGCCACGGACATCAATACAGGCTCCTTCAGCTGCTCCAGGGCCCTGGATCAAGACTTGGCCCTTGGTCATAGCCAAGGCCCAGACATCTCCCTGGACTTGGGTGGCCAGCAGGTTATTCATGTCTGCCCTTTCCTCACTAACCTCACCTCTCCCTCTCTTCCACCTCCCCACCCTGTACTCTCTCATCACACATTGGTACCCAACTGCCCAGAGCCAGGGCTCTTGATTAGGTCACAGTTGGCTCTTGGTTGAGTACCGCCTGTGGCAGGGAGCTGCTGCCTTTCCTCTCTCCAGTGCCCGGGCCTAGAGACGTCAGGCAGTACTTGGTATGATGGTACCTGATTGATTGAGACTCTGACAGACCCAAAATCTGGTGGGGAGGAGCGGTGGTGGCCATCTGTGTCCACCGCTGATTTAGTCTCAGGTCGGACCAGCAGTTGCTGGTTGATTGTGTCCTAGTTTTCTTCTGGCAGTTTTCGGTGTTACATTTAAGTCTTTAATTTACGCTGACTTTAAATTACTTTTTATTATATAGTAGTCTTCTATGTAGATAATTTCCCCAAGATAATTTGCTGAAGACTACTTTCAGCCATTTTGTATTCTTAGAAACTGTCAACGATCACTTAACTGGGAAGGCGGGATGGCTCAGTGGGTAGAATACTTGTTATGCAAGTCTGATGACCCAAGTTCAATATTCAGAACTCAGATAAGGTGGATGGACAGAAACAACTTCACAAAGTTGTTCTCTGACATACTCTCCCTCTCCCCCCTTTCTCTCTTCCCACCATAACTCATGCATAAATAAATACAAAAATAAAACTCTAAAACTTAACAATAAATGCATAAATATTTGTTTCAGGGTTTCTTTTGCTCTGATGAAACACCACGACTATAAGCAACTTGGGAAGGAAAGTGTTTATTTGCCTTACACGTCTCCATCACAGTTCATCATCAAAGGAAGTCAGGACATAAACCCAAACAGGGTAGGTACCCAGAGGCAGGAGCTGATGCCGGGGTCAGGGAGGATTGTTGTTTGCAGGCCTCCTTTCCTCAAGCACCCAAGACCACCAGCCCAGGGGTGGCCCCACCCATGGTGAGCTATGCACTCGTATATCAATTATCAATCAAGAAAATTCACCACATGTCTGGAGAATACCACTGAGCTCTGCAAAAAAGACAGATGTTGCAAGGCTCCTCTAACTCCCTCACTGATGTAACCCTCCTCCCCCAACACTGATGTAATTGTGGGTTTTATCTTTAAAAACACTGTGCCCTGAGCTCTGGCACCAAAAGAGATTTTGAAGGCATTACCTTACTCTTGGTCTGGCCATTATTAAAGGTCTCATACTCTTAATTGGTTTAATTAGCATGATCGCCGGTAATTGTCCCCCATGGATTGTTTTACTCTGAATTGAAAACATTCCCACAAGGAAAGAGTGAGAGGCTTATGAGACTTGGGAACTGAATGAACTTCACACGGATGAAAAGAATGAAACTTAGAGCATTCACGGGGATCCCTTCCCAAGGATATAGAAACAGTTAAAACAACTGCTGGGAAAGGAGACTACTCAATCAGCCTAGCTACCAAGAAGAGATTCTCCAACCTGTCTAGCTGCCTAGAGGTCATTTAGAGAGCTCTGGAGTTTTTATGCCATCACCCATGTTGGGGTGGGCTTTGGTGATGGAGCTGTTTTGAGTCATCTCTGCTCCTGTAAGTAACCCCAATAAAAACTCATTGGCTCATTGGGGGCGGCGGGTGTGTGTGTGTGAATTCACCACAGCCTCACAGGCCAGTCTGATGGGAGCTTTTTCTCAATTGAGGTTCCCTCCTCCAAAATGCCTCTGACTTGTATCAAGTTGACATAAAACTAACCCGTACAGTATGGTTCTGGGTTACTGTTTCATCGGTTTATATACCATAGGCCTCTTGCTATACCAGTGCCATGCTGCTTACCATATTGATGCAGTACACTTTGCTAAGGTGCTTTTTTCTTGGTGATTTAAAAACTGTCTTTGGTTTTTGAGAACTTGATTATGTCAGGGTAAAGGTATTTTTACATCTAACATAGGTAGCGTTCATGAATCTGCATACTGATTTTTTCACTTTTGATAAGGTAAGGTTCTGACATTACTTCTCAAGCAATTCCTCACCTTTCCGGAGAGGAAAACCAATATCCAGACGCAAGGGCCCCGACTATACTAAATGTAAAGATCTTCAGCAAGGAGAGTGTAATAGTTGCTCTGCTGTTGTTGCCTCTTAGGAGCAGAAAATTCTTTAGGCCTTTTCTTTCCACAAGTTGTAAGTTTAACTGGGTTGGGGTTTGCCCTAAGGGTACTCCTCCATTTATCCCAGTGTGGATTAGCCTCCCTCACAACTAGGGATAGCACCACACACAGTGAGAGCATATTCCCATTTCAAACAATAAAATCAAGACAGTCTTTCACAGACATGCCTATAGGCCAAGCTAACCTAAGACAATTCCCCCTTTAAATGTTCTTCCCAGGTGACTCTAGACCGTGGCCGGATATAATTAACACTACCTCAACTTCTTCTTGCTAAACTGTTTCTTCCTTTTTCCATGTATGGTTTCAGGTTTCTTTTTAGTTGTCTATGCTCACCTGTAGAATATCTGAACTTCTTTCAGACAATTATTTGGAATTCTTCTCCAGGCACATTTTAGGTATAGGCTTCTTGAGGGTAAGGAATTGGTGATTATTCTGAAACCTTGGTTGAATAATGTCTTTCTGATTTGTTATGATTTTCAGAGTCTTAATGTTGGTGTCTACACACCTGAAAAAGCGGCTACCTCTTCAAATATTTACAGAGCATTTCAGCAGGGAAAGCCCTTTACTGGTCTGACCAGAGTCTGTGGGTGATTTATCTGATAATAACCTCAGAAGGTTGTTCACAGGAGTCTGTTCCATGGGGTCATCCTGGTGCCATTATCAACTGAGGAGAATATGAACAGTAGGCAAAGACAGTAAGCCTGAAACACCCTTGTTGATGGTAAAGTTCAGTGAATTTTTACATATTCACACTGTAAAAATTATCATTAATTTCAAAACAAAAGAAATTCTGTACCCACAGCAGTACATGGTATTTAAACACTGTGGTGATGTGCACAATGTCTTGGTAAACTCCCTTTGGTCTAGTGCTCAGTTCAACATGTTACCCTCCCTTTGCCATGATGTATAGTGCCATTTCAGGAACTAAGCTTCATCACTCTACATTTTTGAGGGTGAAACTGAAATCAGTCACTGATGACCAAGAAGGACACGTGGGTGGCCAAGGAAGAAGCTTTATTGTTTTAAGCCACTAAGATTTGGGGATAATTTGCACAAAGAACAATGTAGCCTGATATGACTCATACACACATAACAAAAATCTGATGAGAAATTACTTAGGAAAGGAAGACTTTATTTTTAACTGTTCAGAATCTGCAACTCAGAAATGAATCTGAATGCGAACTGGCCTCCTTAAATAGAACAAGTAAAATAGGCCAATTTCAAGTCAGATGATCTCTAAAAGAAACAGAAGAAAGTGACTTCATTGAGAAGATAAAGGACATGATCACTTTATCTACCATGTAGGCACTGCAGCAGGATCCCTTCATGAACTCAGGAGAGCAGGATAAGGCTAATTAATACAACCACACCTTTTTTTTTTTTAAGCAGTTTCTTTCTAGAATTCTATCTGCAATTTCTTTGGTCTGTATTATGAGGCCAGAGACTTAGTTCTTTCCCTGAGAGTCACTTGCCTTTTAGCTACAGTATATTCTGCTGATGCAACAGGTCCACGTTTGGTCCCCAGTTCTCACACTGGTTGCCTCACAACCATCTGAATCTTCAGCTTCAGAGTATCCGCCACCTTTTTCTAGCCTTTACAGGCACTGCACTCGCATGTACAAAGCCATAGACAGAAACACACGTACACACACACACACACACACACACACACACACACACACACACACACTCTCACACGTATATACATAAATGCAAATTTAAAAAGTTCCAATATCACAGAAAAAAATGTTTCATTTCATTCATGTTATTATTCACTCAATATTTATTAACTAAACCATAAGTAGTTTAAATTTATTTCAAAGGGGAAGATATTCCTGAAAAATATTAGAACAGAAAATGTAGTACCAATACTAGAAAAAGCTTTGAGAATGTTCTACTAGAATTTATTTCCAAAGAAGCGAATGGATTTTATCTGTTCTCTGAGACATTTCTGAATTCTATGCATGAGATACTTCTGTTACATATATTTATATGTATTCAAATGTGTCACAACTTTACATAGGTTTAAAATAAGCCTTTAGAATTTAGTTAATATTGTACTAAGATAATTCTTCTATACAACCTATTTTAATAAAGTGCTTATAATCTAGGAATATATACATTCTAAGCAAGCATTTTAAATTAATTTTGGTATTTACTAACTTAAGTACTCAAGAACTTGATTTGAAGAATCCAATAGACTGAAAGTCTGTTTCTCAAGAGAATTGGGATCTTCTACCAATGCAGAGATTTTGGAATTTCTATATTCCAAGAGTTCATGATCCTTGCTTGATGCCAATAATTCATTATCGGCTACACCAATAGTTGCATCTTCTACCAGAATATTTGCCTGGTATGCTCCAACTGAGATTTCAGGTAATCCAATGTAGTCGTGATCTGCTACTATCGAACCTTGCAAGAGATAAAGACTGTCTGAAAGAGAGAGATCAATGTTTCATCTTAGAATTGAAGGCAAACGTCATTTTAAAGTTAAACATTAAGTGATGGATGAAGCTCAAAGCAATACAAATTAGTTCATGAATATTAACTTCTGAAAAGCTCTCTTATCAAGCTGGGAATGGTAACACACACCTGGGAGGCAGAGGTGGGCAGATCTCTCAGTTTGGGCTACACAGAGAAACCCTGCCTCAAAAAATAACCAAACCAGAACCAAACCAAAGAAACCAACCCCTACCTCCAAACCAAACCTCTTATCCTCTTAAAACATTCATAAAAGTGAACAAAATTATGTGTATACACACACACACACTATTCACATATAAAGAATGTAGGACCATCAAAGATGTTGAAACAAAGCTTCCAATTTCCTTGAGTGGTCCTTGGAGTGATAAAGGTGAAACAAAATTACAGAACTATAATTTTGATACTGATGATATCCTTAATATGCATCTACAAAGCATTTCTGTGTGAATTAATAAGGGTATTTTAGCCAACTGAATTGCAAAACTTTTACATTTCTAATTTCAGATGCCCTCCAATTTGTACAGAATTCATAGTAGTACAACTACATCAATGAGTTATAATATAAAGCCATAAACTAGAATAAGATAAAGTAGCCAAAATCTGACTCATGTGGCGAGCTCCAATGAAGCAGCTAAACTTATTTCAGTTGAATCTGATAGCAAAAACCTGAGGCATGTTCAAGATCTACCTGATCTACACTCAACAGGAAACCTTTCCTTGTCAGTATTTTGTTATATTTTTAGCAAACTTATCATAAACTCCTGGAAACAGGTCTAAAATAAGTTGTTAAACCAAGAGCAAAACAGCGGTCTCTTTCACTATAAAGAATGCAATAGACAAAAAATGTAGCTAGAGTTTTCCTGCCTGGCCCACAGTCAGGACAAATCTCTGTCACTCGCTAGTCCCACAGCCGCTCAGACCCAACCAAGTAAACATAGAGACTTATATTGCTTACAAACTGTATGGCCATGGCAGGCCTCTTGCTAACTGTTCTTATATCTTAAATTAACCCATTTCTATAAATCTATACCTTGCCACGTGGCTCGTGGCTTACCGGTATCTTCACATGCTGCTTGTCATGGCTGCGGCTGGCAATGTCTCCTCCTACCTTCCTGTTCTCTCAATTCTCCTCTCTGTTAGTCCCGCCTATACTTCCTGCCTGGCCACTGGCCAATCAGTGTTTTATTTATTGATCAACCAGAGCATTTGACATATAGACCATCCCACAGGAAAAAAAAAAAAAAAAAAAAATTCCTCCAGGTCTGATTCTCCAATTCATCACAAAAAGGAACTCATCTACCATAGCTGATTAACATCATCCCCGCATTCTCTTTCTGAATCTTCTCCCAAACATTAACAGAGTCTCTTAAAGATTTTAATATCTTATAGAACCCTTTAATCTAAGTGTAAGAAAAGAAGACTAATTGCCTATTTAGATCAGAGGTCAGTTGGGATCACCCCAGAGTTGGTAGTATGTTTGGGAAAATGAACCCTCTCTAGAAGTTCATACATTTAAAAACTTAAAATTTATAAACTTTAGGAGCTCTTAGAATCCACACTATAAACAGGTGGCATAAAGGGCTTATGTGGGAGTCTCTGTAAACACTATGACCAGCAGACAAATGATCCACAAAAGGAAATCTGGTATAGCATGACTTAGCCTGGCTGGTTCAAACTTCCGGAGTCTGACACCAGGCAGTTTATTTTAGGCATATTTAAGCACAGCTCATTTTTGGAAAGTAGTTTCCTGATAATTAACTCAATCCCATGTATATAACAAAGCCTAAGACATGTTTAGATTGAAACTCTTTACAAAACAGATATGATTTCTTACATAAAGATGGGTACTCTTGACTCAGAAACAATCCTCAAGATAAGAGTATAGGGAGAATGACTGAGGTAAACAAAATAGCCTGTAGGAGTCAGGACTGGTCTGGCACTAAGATAAACACAGACGTTACCTAGGCTGTTGTAAAGCACAAGTGACATCTCTCATAAAAAAGGAACATCTCTCAGAAAGACGAGTTTTATTGACTGAGAGGCAATGCTCAAAATGTAGGGGGAATAGTCTGGGATAAACAAATATAATAGTCTGGTGGATTTGGGTGAGGCCTGGTCCTGGAGATAGCAAACCATCACCAGGTAATAAACTACATCCATTTCCAGCATTCCAAGTGGAAACAGGTAAACACTTTCCTTCCTTTGAAGAGACAAGCCTGAGTGCTTAACTTTCCTGTCTTCCTTGGTGCTTATCTATGTGCACAAGGACCCCATACCTCTACAGGCTTGGGCTTACACAGCCATTTAGTTCATTATTATGCAAAGTATGCCTGGGCATTAAGTGTTGAGAGGTTTTTCAAATTACACTTTACAAATTCTTATGAAAGAGTATGTGGTGATCAGACTGAAATTAATTCAGGAGATGACTTATTTATGGGGGAATAAAAGTACACAGAATTGTAAGGGGCAAGAAAATGATGGGCTGTATGCTATTGTGGGAGAATTGCTGTACAAAAGGAATGAATTTGAAAGACAGACTACAAATCATCCAATTAATGATTGAGAATTGTTTTGACTAAAAGCACCAAGAAGATGGAAAAGGGTCAATGAATTTGAAAGACAGAGTATTATTAGAAATTTAACATTGCAGCTTGCTTATTAGCTTATGCTTAATACAAAAGGCCAGAAAGTTCATGAGCATAATTAAAAGGTTGGGTATGTTAGAAAGTGTTGTGGAATTTAAAATATTCATGAAGAATTCTATAAGATCAATGCCTATATGTTAGATGACATCATCACTGACAGCAGACCCCACAGGACCTAGGGAATTTCCAAGGCATTTTTCAGGAATGATTGATAAAGGAGGTTTTCTGAAAAAAATTTTTTTCATATAGATGAGTAGGTTAGTTTATTGTAACCCTAGACCAACAGCCAACCCCTAGGTTGGCTTATTTTAGAAAAATATGCTTACTAAATATGTATCAGTGAGGACAATGAATCTAGATACAAGAGGCAAAACTCTCAGAAGCTGATTTTTTGGATCTGTGCTCAACGACTTTATGTTTAGGTTTGTTTCAGTTAACTGGACTTAGAAAAAAATAAATCTTACCCATATCACTTATTATTAAGGGGGAACATTATATGTGTGTGTGTGAGTGTGTGTGTATGTATATATGCTATACAAACACATGCATTTTTCCTTTCCATAAATGATGGTTCTTACAGTATCTTATAACAAAACTATGCAGAGTATAGATCATATTGTAAGAATTACTGTGAAAATGTCAAGGCTAGTTAATATATTAAAAAACACCTCATTCACCCATAAGGAACAAATATGTTTCAATTCTAACTATAGTCTCTAACTGGACCCAACTGAAATGTGATTCAATTTCAAAAAAGTTTATTAAAAGACTCTCAGACTCTTTGGGACCTCCCAAGTATGCAGATTCAATATTTTGCATATATTGTTAAAGAAAATGAGACACCATTTTCATCTCTTTCTATTTAAAATGTGCTAATAGAAAATTTAAAACTACCCGTCACATAGATTTTGTGTCACTGGATAATATTGATGTGGATCTACAGAATCCCAAGTAAAGGACACAGAAAAGAATATGCTGACATTCTTACTCTTAAGGCAGAGACAAACACCATATTAATGGAATTTTCCACCAAGTTACATTACACAAAATATATTGTATTAAGTAGTTTTATTTCCCCATTCTATTGATTCAGTTGTGATTATGATGAAAATACATTTAACAAAGGTAATTGTTTCAACTTTGAAAAGACTGAATAATGTCTTCAGTTTTTTTTGAAACTTAGATATTTTCAAGATGCTTTTACAAACTTTCTCTTATGTGGCTTTAAGGAATAAAAAATTTAAGATTAGGAAATAGATATTTAACTTTTAGGAAGGAATCTACATTTAATGATCACAAAATGTGAATGACTTGGGTGAATTAATGTTTTAAATTATAAAAATAAAGTTTTGTGTGAGCTACTTTTCTTATTCTTATGTGAGATGTCAAAATAACTAAATAGTCTGATAATTTTCAAACTTTTACACTATATTGCTCTTGTAATATATCCTTTCCAAGACAAAACAACTATAATTTGATGCTATTATTATTAGTTATAATACTAATAGTAGCTACCAGTAATAAACTGGATGGGCTCTGGGTCTGGAGAGTAGGTAGCTATAAGTACAAAGGAACACTTTCTCTGCATAAACTATATTACTAATAATGTGGTGATCACAGGTATAGTGTCATAATAAAAATATTATGACACTATGACATTATGACACATTGTTTTATTAATGAGACTGTTAACTGTCTTCAGCACAATAATAGTCTCCCAAAGTGTATACCCATTAATCTCTGCAAATGGTGAATATGTTGCTTTACCTGGCACAAAGGAATTTGGGTAGTCAGGAAATTAAAGCTGCCAATGATCTGATCTTAAAATTAGTGAGATAATTTTAAAGTATTTGGGTGGGTTGAAGGACAAAGGTCCTCAAATGGCAAAGAGGGAGACAAGAGGAATTTGAGGCATGCTGGTTTTGAGAACGGAAGAAAAGGACTGTAAGCCAGGGAATAAATGAAGCATCTAGAACAGTGGTTCTCAAGCTGTGGGTCGCAACCTGTTTGGGGGTCAAACAACCCTTTCACAGGGATGGCATATCAGCTATCCTGCACATCAGATATTTACACCATGATTCATAACAGTAGCAAAATTACAGTTATGAAGTAGCAACAAAAATAATTTTATGATTAGGGGTCAGCACAACAAGAGGAATGGTATTAAAGGGTGGTGGCAGCATTAGGAAGGTTGAGAACCACTGCTCTAGAAGCTAGAAAGGAGAAGGAAATCCATTGTCTTCTCTTCTAGTCATTCTAGAAACATGACTCTACCAGTACCTTAATTTCAGCCCAATAAAACCCATGTAGAAATTCTAAAGTAGATACATTTATGGCAACAAATATATGTTGTTTGAAGCACTAAATGCACTGCAAATTGTTTTGGCAGGAATACGAAACTTGCATAATGAAAATTATTTCATAAGTGGGCATTTAATCATGAAGGAAAGAATGAGACTAAAACTTTAGTGAGGTAGACCCAAATCTATCCTCAATAAAGCAAATAAATTAAAAACCAGTTTGTGTCAGATGGGACAGCAGGTCAACACCAAAATTATCTCTTTCCAACAAGACTGCGATCACAATGGGACAGTAGAATATTTGTAAAAATTCCCATCAGAACAAGGAGCTTAGATGTGCTCAGCATCTAATCAGACAAACAGCAAACAGGCCTACTTAAAATAGCAACGACAAGTACTGCTAACCTAGTACTGGATGTGTTAGCTCAGTGCTATGTTCCAGACAAGAACGACAGGAACTTGGCAACAGAAGTGTTAGACTGTAACCCTTTAACACAGCCAAGAAATCAGCAGTAGTAAAGAGTAATGTGACAGATATAAACAGATATTTGAACTCCTTTTCGTTATTGGATGTTTAAATTCGTGTCAAATAAAAATGTTTGATGGTCAAAGTGACTGTTTTCACTAAATTCACTTCAGGGACTCTTCAAGGTCAGCTGCTGAGGGAAAGGCTTTGAGGAAAATGTATGATGCTGAGGCAAAAGATGGAGTAAGCCACATTTACTTTGTATTTCTGCCAATGAAACTCCACATACACACAAAAAAAGGATCAAACACTATTGAAAAACTAGTTTATAGCATGGCTGATAGGAAATTGTAAAATCGCACTTATCATCTTCCAAAGTCTATGTTCATACCAATACTAACACTACAATTTTCTTGCATTACTAGAAGAAACATTTCCAGAAAATTTCAGCACGAGGCAAGAACTCCATTGCTTCTGTTTAGACACTTGTGCTTTCAACTTGTTTCTGAAATATTCAGAAGGAAAATAACTGACTTCCTTTCTGAATGTCTTTGATAAGAGACAACTGAAGAATGAGAACAAGATCCTGCACAGCAGCATTTTACATGCAAATTCTGTATGACTGAATATTAACATATTAGAAGGAAACACATTCGGAAGGTGAAGGCGGAAATCGTGGTGGGATTAAAGAACACATCCAGTTCCCTTTTCCCTGCTTAGCCTGTAGAAGGGAGAGTCTATAAACGCTCTGGAGTGAGAAGACACACGAGAACGAATGTACTGCCCTCTTATAGGAAAGACGAAATCACCCATGTGTTCAGAGTCAGAACAGTCTGAGGTAAGTTTGTGACTAGAGCAACTGGTTCTGCCACAGGAATCAAAAGGACCAAGAGCTCTTAACGGAAGTGCTAGGGTCCAGACCAGAAGTGGATAAGAACTACTATACTGATAAGCCCCATGAGGGCTTCATATCTCAACAAAGAAACAGGGTAAACATAGGTCATTGCTTATTTCTTGTTATTTACTTTTATCTACTAAGTGACTTATTTATGATATTTAAAAATATATTGCAACACCATGTAATGTAACTTGCATTCAAATAATATTAATGCATCATTTTTCGTTTGTTCATATATTACTAACTAGCATATATTCAATGTACAAAAATGAGCAAAGTAAATATAAGCATGCATGAAAATGGTGCAATGTATTGTATTCTTTACAGAAAAAGCATAATTATCCAATAAGTACCAAATAACTTCCTCTCACCTATCTACCTCAGAGAAGCTCGAAGGAACAAATACAGTAGGAATAAATGAAATAATCTTGAAGAAGTAGGGGACTTAATCTGAAAACCATGTTAAAATATCATTCAAGTCTTATAAAGGGAAAGGCTAGAGATCAGAATGCTTGTTGGCATAGCTTGGGGCATTATAACACTCCTACAATTATCATTATGGGAATGCCATAATTCTATAGTCTGATAGCATTCTGAGTATTCTCCATCCTCCACCCTTACCCATCCTAACCCATGAACTAATTATGAAGTCACATTAAAAGAAAATAAATTTTTTAAGTTCCCCTATTTATTTTACAATTAGATTCTGGACAATATGATTGTCTTTGGCATTAAATGATCATAGCTGCTGTTTTTCCACATACAAACGAGGCAGAAAGTAATAGGATATTATGCAAAACTGGAGACGGGATCTTTCCATTTTTGAAACAGATTTAGCATTTTTTCATAACAATTAGGAAAAGTAAACATAAGTCAAAACAAAAATCCTGGTTTGTTTGCTTTTAGAGCATACTACTACTACTACTACTATTATTATGTGCCTGCTTGTTTTCTTTTTTTTTTTTTTTGGTTTTTTTTCGAGACAGGGTTTCTCTGTGTAGCTTTGCGCCTTTCCTGGAACTCGCTTTGGAGACCAGGCTGGCCTCGAACTCACAGAGATCCACCTGCCTCTGCCTCCCGAGTGCTGGGATTAAAGGCGTGCGCCACCACCGCCCGGCTCCTGCTTGTTTTCTAACAAGAGAGAGAAAGCATGGATTTGGGTGTTTGGGAAAGCGGGAGGACCCAGGAGGGGCTGGAGAAGGGGAAGACATAATCACAATATACTGTATGAAAAAAATCCATTTTCAATCATAAAGTAAAAAAAAGTTTGTACAAGTACATTCTGATTGGCTTACGAGGGAGAACTAAAACTCTATCAAGTATGAAATTTAGAGGGGGAAGCAGTTTAACCATAGGAGGCAAGAAGTTTGCTTGAAATTCGAATCCCTCTTCCCAGGGAAAAGGACACACCAGGGAAGTTACGGATGCCTACCTTGCTCAGCGGGCTCCCTCACGTAAGGCCGCAGGTGGGACATTTTGATGGGCCTCTTCAGTCTGGTGCCCGTGTTGTCCCTCAGGACAGCACATCCACTCTCGGTGATGTAGTCTATGACACAAGGGCCAACCCATTCCGACTGGAAACGGCCGTCTTTCCACCAGTTCTTCCTCTGACGTAGAACCTCGTGACCCACTTTTAAATGAAACGGATTTAACTGCTTTGGCTTCTTTTTAACAGTCTTGGTTTTGTTTAGTTCATCCAAATTGCTGTTCTCCATCTGTCAATGCAAAAACAGAATTATGACCGGGCTTAATTTAAATGCATATACTGATCAGATGGTAGCAGTGGGCATCTACTGAGTTGTTACCGAAATGAAGGACGGACTCCTAACTAGTTCTTTAAAAATATTTTAAAGTCGGTATCTCTTTTTACATCGACGGTAAAGCATACAGGCTGAGTGCTTCTGAGAACGTGCACTAGCACAAGTACAGAGTACAAGGTTCTACAACTGCTAACAAGTACAGATTAGATACCAGGTCTACGCAGTCTTCCCCAAGTCATAGCTTACTGCCAGTTTCTTAGACTTTCATCGCCTATAAGCAGACGATTCAGGGGCTGGGGAACAGGTTCAGTGGTCAATGCCTGATACACACTCACGCGGCCATGAGTTCAGATTCCCAGCACCCACTGGACACAGTACCACACATCTGTAACCCCAGCAATGGAGGGGAAGGGGTGAGCCTGGCACACCCGGGTGCACCCTGGGCAGCCTGTGTAGCTGAATTCGTGAGCTCTAGTTTCAGTGAGGGGCTTTGGCTCAAAAACTCAGGCTGAGAGTGAGAAAGACAGTGGATGTCTATTACCAGCCTCCACACATGTTCACACGTGTGCACATGCACTGCACAAATACATACATAATCTACACAAAGCACATACACACGAAAACAATAAACAAGCATATCACTTAACCAAAATAAGCAGAACATGGTAGATAAAAACTTCATTTTTTAAATTTTTTGCTTAAGGGTGTATCATGTCCACATACACGAACGTGCCCACATGCTGACATTTTGAACATAATTCCTCTTCTGTAGGGCTTCACAGAGCTTTTCTGGTGTGGACTTACCTGGCCAGCTGACGGTGTCTTGTCCTCCAATACCACATCAGCCTCTCTAACTGCAGCTACAATTCTGGCAAACACGCTTGTATTTTCCCCACCCACTTCGGGAGGCCACTCCAGCAGACAGGGATTCCGGTTGAACATTTGGAAATACGGCGTGTTTTTAGTAGGCTCTGAGTGCGTCACATTGAAGGCAAAGGAAAGCGCAGGCAAATGCTCGTCCCAGGTGTTTGGGTGGTCGGCACAGTGTTTGGAGAGAAAGCCTTTGATTGTGCTAGGTGTACTTTCCGATGGATTAACACTTCCAGAAGCATGAGAAATGACAATCTGCTTTGTACCAAACAATCTATACAGTTCTGTATTGATCTGGAAAATACGAAAAAGCAAAACTGACTGTTTAAAGTTCGTATTTCTCCTCTGGCTTAAAAAAGGTTTCAAGAAGCCCAAGTCTTGTCTTTCATTGAACACAGGCATTCAGGTAAAATATATAAGCATTTTGGGTAAAATTCTACTGAGTCCTTACTAAGTGCTGATCAACACATGAAATGTCATTTTTGTCATTACATGTCAGGACGACTTTATGATGTATTATTAACTCCGTTTTAAAGACACAAGCTTAAGATGTGGGAGTCTAAGCACCTAATATACACACACAACAAGGAAACGGAAGGACAGAATTCAAAAATAACCTTGTGGTCAAGTAACTTTTGAATTCAGTAGACTATTTTTTTCAAAGGACCACTAGGTCACATGACACAGTCTCTGTACTCAGTTTTCTCCTTTGTAAATTGAGAAAAACCCTACTCACAGCCGCCTAGGGGCATATACAAAGCAATGCTTGTAAGAAATCAAACAGCTCTCAGCAAGGAGTACGGAATTTATGGAATTTAACTGCAACAACTATTGCTGTTATAATAATAATTTTTATGGCCCAGACTTCAAAGAATTCAGGATGAGTTTAGGACACTTGTAATAATAGTAAGTCTCTCAAATGTTAAACAACAATTTTTCGACCTTGATGCTTTCATATTTTCTGTTATTTTAATTTAGTTAACCTTCCGCTGATAAATTTCTCTTCAAAAGAACATTTTCTACAAATAACTGTCAGAGTAATTGGAAAGATAAAGATTCTCAAAGGAAAGCTAATACGTATCTCACATCTTCCAAGATCCCAATAAGGCAGAAGTGGCCATGTGAGAACTGTGGCAGAAAAAGACGTAAGTTACAATTTCCGCACAAACTCAGCCAGTGCTAGGCTTTTTTTTTTTTTTTTCCCACTGTTCTCCCCTGTTAACTGCAATATAAATATTATGACATGGGCTCCACAGCCACATTGTCAGCACGACACTGACAGCTGCATTCCCAAAGACGGAAAGAAGCTGGGCGCCTGAGTTCCCACTATGCTCACGGCTTTCCTTCCAACCTTATGTAGTTTGCGCTTCTTTCACTTGAGTACAAAGGACGTTTCTACTTCCATTCTGGTTTTAGGGAGAGGAATTCCCTGTTGCTTGCGCCTGAGCTTGACTCCTCACCCACTCTTATATGGAAGACTATATGATACCTAAGTCATGTGACCACGCTATACGGAATAGCTTGTTAAAATTTAAATTTTGTATTCATAAATTTAATTAGCTGCTGAAATGAAAGAATGAATAAGGAATCTACTTCTACATGTTGTTTTCCATTTTGCTCTTACTAAACTTTATGTATCATGAGTGACCACTGAATTACTTAGTTATTATCAATCTGTAGTATTAATAAAGCCTTTTAGTTTGTATACCTATTATAGTTACCTATATAAATATATAAAATATACATATAAAATTATTCTTTATATTTTTAACATGATATAAATATGGTCAATCATTTCATGCTAGTTAATATCATTTTATTATATTTTTATTTTTGGTTGTTCTTAAGCTAGAAGTAAAAAATATTTGATTCAATCATCTCACTTTAGTTTGAAGATATCAAAAGATAGGCTTACAATTACTTAGTGGTAAAGTAATAATAAAAATCTTGCTCTCCTAATCTCTAGTTCAACAAATCTAGTACTATATATTATATACCTCCATATCTATAGCAATTTATCTGAGTGTATTAAATATCCTATAAAGCTATAAGAACTGTGTGCCAGACACCAAGAGTGACAGCTGCTCCCAAATGTGAGCACTTTGTCCTACCTGTTCAATGAATTCATCTCTTTGGTCCATTATTATTTTCTGAGGAGGTCCATATAAGAAAAATATATTGATAATAGCTTTAGAAATTTCTGATGCCGAGACATCACATAAAGGCAAAATCATAACCCATTTTGTGAACAAATCAGTCACGATTATAGCATACACATGACTCCTGTCGCTGGTATGGAAAGGTCCCATCAGATCCACAGTAACTACACTCCACGGGTTTCCCACCGTGAGAAGGTGCTGCTGAGGTGCCACCACAACTGTATTTTTTGCTACTTGGCAATGCTGACAAGCATATACCTACAGAGAGGCACACAACAAGAAAAATGCATATAAATGTTAAAACAGTCACTGTAATATGTCATTTTTATAAAGCAGAATCTAAAATAGTCAACAAGTATGGTGATATTTTATTTGTACTGAAATGTGATTTTATTTGTATGTTAATAAATAAAGTTGTCTGGGGGTCAGAGCTAATAGCAAGCCATAGCAAAGGCTGGTGGTGGTGGCGCACATCTTTAATCCCAGCACTTGGGAGGCAGAGCTAGGCCGATCTCTGTGTGTTCAAGGATACAGCCAGCATGGAGACACACACCTTTAATTTCAATACCAATCATAGAAGACCTGGAGGTCTGTATAGATGGGCAGTGACAAGGAGGTCATGTGGTTGAGTTTACAACCAATGAGAAGGCAAAATAGAAAGTAAATAAAAAGGGCAAACACACAGGAAGAGGTCTCTTGCAGAGAGGTAGGACAGCAGTGGCAGTGAAGGGTAAGGTTTTTAATCTCAGCTCTTAGCTATTGCTCTGACCTCTTGGCTTTCATCTCTGAATCGGCTCTGTGTTTCTTAATTAAAAAGACAGTTACGCCGGGCGGTGGTGGCGCACGCCTTTAATCCCAGCACTCGGGAGGCAGAGGCAGGCGGATCTCTGTGAGTTCAAGGCAAGCCTGGGCTACCAAGGGAGTTCCAGGAAAGGCGCAAAGTGACACAGAGAAACCCTGTCTCGAAAAACCAAAAAAAAAAAAAAAAAGACAGTTACATCTACAAACAAGTACTCTCTATTTTAAAGGAAGTTTACTGGCCTGGGAATAGCCCATTAAATAAAGCCTTTTACTTAGAACAAGCAAATATCGGTCATTACAGCTGCACCACAGGGCCCGCTCATACTACTCTGATTAAATGACAATCTCAATAGGGCCTTATTCAAATGGAATATGATTCTGGTTCACATTCAAATATATATTAAACCAACAGATCTTAGAATGGTTGTTTATTATTTTATTTTTAACTGATGCATTTATGTAATCCTTTGACTCAGGATGCTGAAGCCCGAGAGTCAGGGCAACATGGTAAATTCAAAACCAGCCAGGTCACATCATAGGAACCCAATTGCCCAAAATAAGTAAGTAAATAAATAAATAAAAAGAAAAAAATGAAAAGGAAGGAAGAACATAACAAAGAATCTCCTAATAGGCTACCATGAAATATTCCATTTTCTATCATTTTAAGCCAGCATGTGGCTATGCAATAATTTATACAAACAAATGACATTTCTTCCTATAGTTTTTATTCTAAAGTTCATTCATTCACCCATTTCACTAATATTGGCTGAGCTGTAATTTTAATTAAATCATATCTAAAGATGCCAGAAATCTCCCTATGTCCTAGAGGAAATCCAGGTCTCATGAAGCTGTTATTTAAGTTAGTGGTTCTCAAACTGTGGGTCGTGGCACCCTGGGGTCGCACATCAGATATTTACATTACGATTCACAACAGTAGCAAAATTACAGGTATGAAGTAGCAATGAAATAATCTTATGGTTGGGGGTCACCACAATATGAGGAACTTCATTGAAGGTTGAGAACCACTGTTAAGTGGATTAAGAAGAGATCAATTGATTAATTTATAGATGGTGCTGTTTTTAAAACATTTCCAGACTTTCACTTTGGAAGTTATTTCAAGCCAAGTCTAAAAAAATAATTAACAACAAAAATAAAAACACAAACCCTCATCATTGTGATCAAAGTAATTCTTTTTTAAAGATAATAGAGACAGAAATGTGTATTAAGAAACAGAAAATCACTCCGGAAAACGGGAGTGGACTAGTGAGCTGGGAAATGCTCATCATAATTATTCCTGATGATCACTCTCATTTTCAACTTTAATGTATTCACCAGTTACAAAAAGCATTATTTTAAGAATGATACCTTTTCTCAAATTATAACCACTTGATATTTATTTCACTGAATGCTGTAAAAGAATGCATGGAACACTTACAATTTGGGTTTAGGTTCCTGCCATTTAGATTTGACATTTTTCTATCTTCAGGATAGGCACAAAAGCTGAGAATACACACTGAGATTGAATTATGAATGTACTTATTTTGATTATATAAAAAGTCATTCATGATGGCATTAAGGATATAATAGTTAGCTAAAGAATTTCAACCTCAGTTGAATTTGCCTGCAAAATGGAACTCAATGTTCCAATTCTCAATAATTTCCTATCAAAATATTGTATTTTCTTGGTTTAATTCATACTCTACTGATTTAAAATACTTATAAAGAAAAATACTTACTTTTAATTTAAATGTTTTCTTATTTCAAAAATAAAACATAAAGTACTTATCCCATAGGTGATTTGTACAGTACATTTTAAGCAATACTGACCTTTGTATTTATTAGAAAGACAATAAAAACATTTCTAAACACACAAGCCATACCCACTGTTTGACATCATTGGTCACAGAAGTCCAGTAGTAACTGGACTCCACCAGAGTGAGAGTTCTGGATATGCCATGATGAACACCAGTGCCATTTTCATGGCACTCTCTTAGGACTTTCTTTTTTTCCTCTTCTGAAACAACTACCAAACGATTTTGTTTTCTGTCTTTTCCAACATAAAACAGCTTTTTTTCTGAAATGAATGACATAAAAAAATCTGTCATTTTCAAAGCTCCATAGAGTTTAGACCATTATAGCCTTAAATTAAAACCATGAAAATTTTTAATTTTATTTTTACAGAAATCTTTCTTTGAAACAGAATAATTACTTGCAATGCTATTGTCATGCATTCTGAAGACCCAGAAGGCCCCTATCTGCTATAATTCTGTAGGTATCAATGTAAATGGAGTAAGCTTGCTCTCTAAAGCATGTGGTAACTCTGAGAACATGAAATGACCCCTCTTTGGGAGTGCTCAGGTTAGAGAAATACTTGTAGAAGCTATTAAAAATGGCTTAGGTAATAAAATGAATTCTGTATAGATGAGGAGCTTCTTGGTACAAAATTTCCTGAACTCATTATAACTGTTTTTTTGTAAGCAGGGCCCTTTCTTTCCTTGTTCTGAGTTGAGTAGAGCGGGGGACAGCCTAGTGGGAGGGACAGAGGGGGGATGGCGTAGTGAGGGGACAGAGGGGGGATGGTGTAGTGGGGGGACAGAAGGGGGATGGCCTAGTGGGAGGGACAGAAGGGGGATGGTATAGTGGGAGGACAGAGGGGGGATGGTGTAGTGGGAGGACAGAGGGGGGATGGTGTAGTGGGAGGACAGAGGGGGGATGGTGTAGTGGGAGGACAGAGGGGAATGGTGTAGTGGGGGGACAGAGGGGGATGGTGTAGTGGGGGGGACAGAGGGGGATGGTGTAGTGGGGGGGACAGAGGGGGATGGTGTAGTGAGGGGACAGAGGGGGATGGTGTAGTGGGGGGGACAGAGGGGGATGGTGTAGTGGGGGGGACAGAGGGGGATGGTGTAGTGGGGGGACAGAGGGGGATGGTGTAGTGGGGGGAACAGAGGGGGATGGTGTAGTGAGGGGACAGAGGGGGATGGTATAGTGGGGGGACAGAGGGGGATGGTGTAGTGGGGGGACAGAGGGGGGATGGCGTAGTGAGGGGACAGAGGGGAATGGTGTAGTGAGGGGACAGAGGGGGATGGTGTAGTGGGGGGGACAGAGGGGGGATGGTGTAGTGGGGGGACAGAGGGGGGATGGTGTAGTGGGAGGACAGAGGGGGATGGTGTAGTGGGAGGACAGAGGGGGGATGGTGTAGTGGGGGGACAGAGGGGGATGGTGTAGTGGGGGGGGACAGAGGGGGATGGTGTAGTGGGAGGACAGAGGGGGATGGTGTAGTGAGGGGACAGAGGGGGATGGTGTAGTGAGGGGACAGAGGGGGGATGGTGTAGTGGGAGGACAGAGGGGGGATGGTGTAGTGGGGGGACAGAGGGGGGATGGTGTAGTGGGGGGACAGAGGGGGATGGTGTAGTGAGGGGACAGAGGGGGATGGTGTAGTGAGGGGACAGAGGGGGGATGGTGTAGTGGGGGGACAGAGGGGGATGGTGTAGTGGGGGGGACAGAGGGGGATGGTGTAGTGAGGGGACAGAGGGGGGATGGTGTAGTGGGAGGACAGAGGAGGTCGGCGTAGTGGGAGGACAGAGGGGGGATGGTGTAGTGGGGGGACAGAGGGGGGATGGTGTAGTGGGGGGGGACAGAGGGGGGATGGTGTAGTGGGGGGGGGGGACAGAGGGGGATGGTGTAGTGGGGGGGACAGAGGGGGGATGGTGTAGTGGGGGGGACAGAGGGGGATGGTGTAGTGGGAGGACAGAGGGGGGATGGTGTAGTGGGGGGGACAGAGGGGGATGGTGTAGTGGGGGGACAGAGGGGGGATGGTGTAGTGGGGGGACAGAGGGGGGATGGTATAGTGGGGGGACAGAGGGGGGATGGTGTAGTGGGGGGGACAGAGGGGGATGGTGTAGTGGGGGGACAGAGGGGGATGGTGTAGTGGGGGGGACAGAGGGGGGATGGTGTAGTGGGGGGACAGAGGGGGGATGGTGTAGTGGGGGGGTCAGAGGGGGATGGTGTAGTGGGGGGACAGAGGGGGATGGTGTAGTGAGGGGACAGAGGGGGATGGTGTAGTGGGAGGACAGAGGGGGATGGTGTAGTGGGGGGACAGAGGGGGATGGTGTAGTGAGGGGACAGAGGGGGATGGTGTAGTGGGAGGACAGAGGGGGATGGTATAGTGGGGGGGACAGAGGGGGGATGGTGTAGTGGGGGGGACAGAGGGGGATGGTGTAGTGGGAGGACAGAGGGGGGATGGTGTAGTGGGGGGGAAAGAGGGGGATGGTGTAGTGGGGGGACAGAGGGGGGATGGTGTAGTGGGGGGACAGAGGGGGGATGGTGTAGTGGGGGGAAAGAGGGGGGATGGTGTAGTGGGGGGACAGAGGGGGGATGGTATAGTGGGGGGACAGAGGGGGGATGGTGTAGTGGGGGGAAAGAGGGGGGATGGTGTAGTGGGGGGACAGAGGGGGGATGGTGTAGTGGGGGGACAGAGGGGGGATGGTGTAGTGGGGGGAAAGAGGGGGGATGGTGTAGTGGGGGGACAGAGGGGGGATGGTGTAGTGGGGGGAAAGAGGGGGGATGGCGTAGTGGGGGGACAGAGGGGGGATGGTGTAGTGGGAGGACAGAGGGGGGATGGTGTAGTGGGAGGACAGAGGGGGATGGTGTAGTGAGGGGACAGAGGGGGGATGGTGTAGTGAGGGGACAGAGGGGAATGGTGTAGTGGGGGGACAGAGGGGGATGGTGTAGTGGGAGGACAGAGGGGGATGGTGTAGTGAGGGGACAGAGGGGGGATGGTGTAGTGGGAGGACAGAGGGGGGATGGTGTAGTGGGGGGGACAGAGGGGGGATGGTGTAGTGGGGGGAAAGAGGGGGGATGGTGTAGTGGGGGGGACAGAGGGGGGATGGTGTAGTGGGGGGACAGAGGGGGGATGGTGTAGTGGGGGGAAAGAGGGGGGATGGTGTAGTGGGGGGACAGAGGGGGGATGGTGTAGTGGGGGGACAGAGGGGGATGGTGTAGTGGGGGGACAGAGGGGGATGGTGTAGTGAGGGGACAGAGGGGGGATGGTGTAGTGGGGGGACAGAGGGGGATGGTGTAGTGGGGGGACAGAGGGGGATGGTGTAGTGGGGGGACAGAGGGGGATGGTGTAGTGAGGGGACAGAGGGGGATGGTGTAGTGGGGGGACAGAGGGGGGATGGTGTAGTGGGGGGGACAGAGGGGGATGGTGTAGTGAGGGGACAGAGGGGGATGGTGTAGTGGGGGGACAGAGGGGGGATGGTGTAGTGGGGGGACAGAGGGGGATGGTGTAGTGGGGGGACAGAGGGGGATGGTGTAGTGGGGGGGACAGAGGGGGGATGGTGTAGTGGGGGGGACAGAGGGGGATGGTGTAGTGGGGGGGACAGAGGGGGATGGTGTAGTGGGAGGACAGAGGGGGGATGGTGTAGTGGGGGGACAGAGGGGGGATGGTGTAGTGGGAGGACAGAGGGGGGATGGTGTAGTGAGGGGACAGAGGGGGATGGCGTAGTGGGGGGACGGGGGGACGGCGTAGTGGGGGGAAAGAGGGGGGTGGTGTAGTGGGGGGACAGAGGGGGGATGGTGTAGTGAGGGGACAGAGGGGGATGGCGTAGTGGGGGGACAGGGGGGATGGTGTAGTGAGGGGACAGAGGGGGATGGCGTAGTGGGGGGAAAGAGGGGGGTGGTGTAGTGGGGGGGACAGAGGGGGGTGGTGTAGTGGGGGGGACAGAGGGGGATGGTGTAGTGGGGGGGACAGAGGAGGTCGGCGTAGTGGGGGGAAAGAGGGGGGTGGTGTAGTGGGGGGGACAGAGGGGGGTGGTGTAGTTGGGGGGACAGAGGGGGGATGGTGTAGTGGGGGGACAGAGGGGGATGGTGTAGTTGGGGGGACAGAGGGGGGATGGTGTAGTGGGGGGACAGAGGGGGGATGGTGTAGTGGGGGGACAGAGGGGGATGGTGTAGTGGGGGGACAGAGGGGGGATGGTGTAGTGGGGGGACAGAGGGGGATGGTGTAGTGATGGGACAGAGGGGGAATGGCGTAGTGGGGGACAGAGGGGGATGGCGTAGTGGGGGGACAGAGGGGGGATGGTGTAGTGGGGGGACAGAGGGGGGATGGTGTAGTGGGGGGACAGAGGGGGATGGTGTAGTGGGGGGACAGAGGGGGGATGGCCTAGTGGGGGGACAGAGGGTGGATGGTGTAGTGGGGCGACAGAGGGTGGATGGTGTAGTGGGAGGGACACAACTCTCAGTTCTTTCCTTCGAGGACACTAAGTGGAAGAACAAGCAGGGAACAGGGAGAGTCATTATCTCTCTCTAGTTCATATGGGTAGCTACACAGACTCCAGAATACATCATTAAGATACTAAGGTGATTAATAAGCACAGCTTCAATTAGAAGCTAGGCAACGGGAATGCTGAAACCCTATCTTACTCATTAGAATATCCCAGGGCCTAGAATGTGATCAGCACACCACAGAAATTCAATACATGTTTTTAACATAAATGATTAAATGAATGAATGCACCTCCACTTTACTGTAAGAGGTCTCCCTATTGTTAAGAATAAGAGTTCCTGACAAGGATCTGGATAGGGATACACGAACAGGCATTTATTTATGACTTTATATTCTGACCTGATTTGGAGAAAGCCTAAAGCAGTATCTCCAGGGGAAACTGCCATTCATAGCAATACCGTTCATATATTTAGTTACCTGTTGACTGTGCCTGCTCATTATCTCATGCTCAGTTTGCTTCCTCCATTGCAGGAGGGAAAGCTGTCGAAAGCTCTCATAACTACCCTCCTGCTTCTCAGATATTTAACGTACCGATGGAGTGTCAAGGCAAGAAAACAAACGTAATCCTGAGAATAACTAATGGTACAGTGGGGGGGGGGGGCAGGTATGTGGGTAAACTCAGCTTTGAATACAGTTAGATCTTCCATTCTTTTATTTTAGTAAGCAAACTAGTTAACTCTGTTAACATTTTCATACTAAGCATCAAATAACTTCCTCAACACTGTGGCATCGATGTCTGAAAGTGAACCATTAGGTGGCAAAAGCAAGAGAGATTAATTTGTGTAATTTTCATAGTTATCTCTTTTAATCTATAATTTAATAAGTCATTTTCTTTTCACTTTTATATATTTTTTATTTTAAATTATGTGTATGTGTGTGTGACTACATGTGTGTATGTGCACTTGCATGCTGAAACACACCAAGACTAAAGGCCCAGATTCCCTTGGAGCTGGAGTTAGAGGTGGCTGTGGGCTGCCCCACACAGGCCTTGCAAACTGAACTTGATCACTATGTGCTTTGAGCGGCTGAGCTCTCTCTCCAGCCCCGTAACAGTTCTTTTTCATGCTTAGCAGCCTTCAGTTAGCTTTATTTATGTTACTTTTGAGGATGATCTTACATTTAGTTGATAACTGCTTAGCAATAAGCAAATACTAGGGAATTTCCCAGGATTCCACAAACATGTATGGGAGATAATCTATAATTTAAGATTGAGACACCAATTTCACCTTTGAAGACAAATTTCTTTGCTGCTCGTCTTATGCCGCTCCTCTCACTCGACAGTGTAGTTGGATGATATTCACCTGTTCGTTTGTAATATGCAATCTGCTTAAGATGGAGGTCACCATTTTTCCCACTACGGACCATTGTGAACCTAGGTAAGATTATTTAAAGATGTTACTTAAATGACAAGCTAATTCCACTGCTATTTCAGTTCAGGCTTCTGTCACATTTCTGCTTATGCATGAATTGAGCATTCCCAGAATATTATCTGCGAGGGAGGTAATTGCAGTACAGAACAGGGACAGAGTGATATCTACAAACTAAAACATCTGAATGCTACTTTTGAGATCCATCTCCTTTCCTGTGATGTAAGAAATGCTGAAAGTTTTTGGAATGCTAGGAAGAAGAAGGAAATGAGTCAGTATACTTCAGAAGTTTGATTGGAGTCTCTTGTTTGCATCCAAAGAAATGTTATTCACAAAGGTTTACTTTGTTATGTAGAATTTAAGGAGAGAAACATAATCTCACATTACTTTTAAATGCATTCACATTCAAGATTATCGCAAAGTGAAAACAAAACTCTATTCAAATCACATTTGATGTCTTTTATAAATGTTTAAATGATAAATGATAGTCATTTAACAACCAGATTCCATACACTCTGAACCATATATAATCCTAGCTTTCCTTTAACAAAAGTGGCAAAAAGCAAAACAATGCTCCTGTCCATTATGGACTATCATTAATATAAGACCTTTTAAAAGTAAATGTGGGAGGCCAGCTCCCACCTTTTCAAGGGTTCTTATGAGTAGGAGAGGGATAAGAAAATATTAGGTAGAAAGATAGCAAAGAGGAGAAAGACAGAAACACAGGATAGCTTCGGGAGGACCTAGGTCAATACTCAATAGCCCTTTCTGTTTATTCAAAAGGGCTTTTTATAACAATGCCAAGGGGCGGGGCAAAAGCCCTCCCCCTTGCTAGATCAAAGCACACTGCATAGCCAAGTGTAGACCCTTCCAAACACCTGATAACCATGTCCATGGTCAAATCATCCCCTTATGCAGGCCTGCTGGGTAAAACAAGCTCAGGTTCTCAGACCCTGAGTAAGTTCTCAGTAGGAAACCTCTGTGGGTCTCTACAAGTAAAAGAAAAAAAAATTATTTTCATATTTTCAGTGGCAAAAATTACATTATGCAGTTATCTAGTTGGCTATCAACTCAACCATCCAAACTAATTTTTGGTCTTTCTTTCCCGGCTGTTGGTTCTAATAGGCAGCACTGTTACCGTGCGAGAAAGGTTACGAGGCAGGACAAAACCCAGTATCAGAGCTTTATTAGGAGGAGGGAGGGGACAGAAGAGAGCGTGGCCAGGCCTGTTGGAAAGACACGTGAGGAGGAGGGAGAGATGGGCAGCACACGGATTAAGTAGGACATAAGGCCCCTTACTTGGTTACTGAACTGCACATGTGCAGGCATACAGCTGGAGGGGTGGCCGGAAGTCCAACACTGCCTGCCATGTCTCTAGGAGACTGACTCTGTGAGGCCATATTTGCTGCTTTCCAATAGGAACTGTCCAACATAAGGCAATGACGGGGAATCAGAACGCACAAGAGGTCAGGGTATTTACTTTTGAGCTCTTGCTGGAAGCTGACATCTCTACAGAGCCCTGCTGAGGGCCCCTTACCTCCGTCCTTTCTTTCTCTGTAAGTCAACCTCCTTTCTCCTGCAAACTTCAGTCACAGGGCGGCCATCTTCCTCGGTGCAGCTAATTGTCAAGTTTCTTTCTCTCTACAACTCTGGAAATAGGAGCATCACTACAGCGCCTTCAAAAACTGCGAGAATGTATTTTCTGCTTCTTGCTGGAACTCTGATACCAATTTCTAAATTCTGAAGACAATATGGATGTTTATATTGCTGAAAGTTTTCCTGTGTCCCACCCAGCTGGCAGCCAGGACAAATCTCTCCCACTCGCGCCCCCCAAGTAAACACACAGAGACTTACATTAATATAACCATATAACCATTAGCTCAGGCTTATTACTGACTAGCTCTTACACTTAAAGTAGCCCATAACTATTAATCTATGTATTGCCACATGTTCCGTGGCTTTACGTGCGTCCCATTACATGTTGCTCCTTTGGCGGCTTGCTAGCGTCTCTCCCTTTTGCCTTTCTGTCTCTCTCTTTGAATTTCCTGCCTGCCTCTAAGTTGTCTTGCCATAGGCCAAACAGCTTTATTTATCAACCAATCAGAGAAACACATATTTGCAGCATACAGAAAGACATTCCCCTATCCACTTCCCCTTTTCTGTCTAAACAAAAGCAAGGTTTTAACTTTAACCTATTAAAATTATATATAACAAAACAGTTATCAAGCAAGGATTACAGTTACAATACCTAGTCTATTTGTATTTTGTAAACTTAAAGAAAAAAATTTTATCTATTCTATATTTGTGAGTCTAAGGTTTCATATTTAATTTATCTTTTATCATAACCAAGGAAAATTATAACTATCTAGTCTTCAACTATATCAAAGACCTCAGAATACTACTCATTAAAGTATCTAGAGATTGTGATGACTAATCTTGGTTGTCAACTTGACACATAAGGGAAGAGGAAGCCTCAACTTAGAAGTTGCCTCCATCAGATTGGAGGCTACTATAATATAAATATTCCATAATACTAAGATAGTCCCATCAGAACCTACAAATAGGTTAATTCAGCTATAAAGTATTATCATCAATGAGTTTTAATTCACCTTTTTGAAGACAGGGTTTTGATGAAGCTCAGGTTTGCCCTGGGACTTGCCATCCTTCTCCCTTAGCCCCAAGTCCTAGACATAGAGGTCCACATTGCTGTACCTGGCATGAGCTCACTTTCAACTAGAGATTTGAGTCATTTTATAGGAGATAGCTATACGTAAAACAAATGGTGAGTGGAGCTACCATGGTTTCTAAAGCATCTCTAAAAGAATGAAACACAATAGGGCATGTAGCTCAGTGATACAGTGCTTGGCTAGGATGTATTAAGGCCCTGGGTTTTAAACTTGAGTCCCACACATATGCATAGTGTACCCATACACAGACAGACAGATAGACATACATATATACATACATACATAGAGATAGATACAGACACACACACACACACACAAAACCAAGTATCTGGCACATGCCAGACACAAAATTGGAGATAAAATAATGATAACCCTCATGAAGTTTATATTATAGTGGGGTTAGAGATTATTTTGAAAGCTAAACTCAAGCTGCATTATTGATAGTAGTTAGAAAATGGAAAGGATCCAAGTGCCCAATAACAGATAAATAAACAAAATATGGCATGTGCACATGCCTTAAAAAAAGAAGTGACTCTAACACATAGAAGAATATGGATGAATCTTGAGGAAAGTATGCTAGTGAAATTTAAAAAAAACAAATATTGTCAAATTCACAGAAACAGAAATTAGAATGGTGGTTCCCAGGAACTGAGGCTATGGTGGTTGACAGATAAATTCAGTTTCATAGCTCCTTCTCTAATTCCCAAACATGCTTGGCAGAGTCAGCAACAGCCCGGGGCCAGGACACTAGAGCTTTCCCCTGGGGCCATGATGTATGGAGGAACATAGTTCCTACTTTAAAACCTGGCATATGCTTGGGGCCAGGGCGTGGGGGAGCTGTAGCTTCAAATCCTGAGAACACAACTCTTGCTACTGTACGGAGCCATGGTGAACAGTGTCAAGGCCGCTGTGGGCTCCGTCTGTGATGCTCTTGAGATACTCAGTGTTCCCCCTGTGCAACATTGCTTGATTAGCTTCTTGCTGACTTTGTCCCATTGTGTGATAGCTTTCCAACAACACTGTCCAATTTCTCTCCTAAAACCTGTACATAAAACGCTGTACTTCTTAATAAACTTGCTGGCACAAGCCAGTAGCTTACACAAGATCCCCTGACCCTGGCTTTCCTGTCTTCTTTATCTTCTCATCCTCTGGTCCTCTCCCTTAAGACTTTGTCACTAAAGAACAACCTGTTGGTCCAGGTCAATATGATGAGTACTTTACTACAATCTAAAAAACAATTTTTAGAAAAATTTTGTTTTAAATAGTTTACAAAGTAGTACGTTTCCTTATGTACTTTTCATTCATACTTAGTTTCTGTTGACCCTACCTCTCACCTACTTCTAAGTCTCCCTATTCCTCTTAAACATTTACACTCTCATTTTTCTTTTTCTACTTTCATGTCACATGTGTTCAACTGCTCTCCATCACCATCCCTTAGGACCCCTTTCTACTTTCCTGGCCTCTCCACATAATCACTCCTAAATTAACATACTTCTGTCTTAAAATTAGAAGCTAAGAAGAAAAGGCTCAAACATGGGAGAACATGTAATATTGTCAGCCTGAACTTACTTAAGCAATATTTTCCAGTTACATTCCTTTTGTTTGCTTTTGAAAATTTTGTAACTTCATTTCTCTTATGGTTGAACAAAATTCAATGGTATGTATGTGTGGGGGTTTGAAGGAAAATGACCCCCAAAAGGAGTGGCACTATTAGAAGATGTGGCTTTGTTGGAGTAGGTGTGGCCTTGTTGGAGGAAGTGTGTCACTGTGGAGGTGGGCTTTGAGGTCTCATATACACTCAAGCCACATCTCCAGTGTCTCAGACCAGACCACTTCCTGTTGCCTGTGAGCCAATATGTAAGAACTCTCAGCTCCTTCTCCAGCACCATGTCTGCCTGCATGCTGCCATGTCCCACCATGTTGATAATGAACTAAACCTCTGAAACTGTAAGCCAGCCCCAGTGAAATGTTTTCTTTAGAAGAGTTGCTGTGGTTATGGTGTCTCTTCATAGCAATAGAAAACCTAATTAAGACAGTATGCTCTACATATTCATTACCCACACATTCTATGATGGATATCTGCACAGATTCGATTTCCTCACTATTATAAATAGAACAGCAGTAAGCACAGATATGCAAATATCTCTGTGAAAAGATAGAGACCCTTGGTATATGCCCAGAAATTATACAGCTAGGTCATGTGGAAGTTCTATTCTTAGTTTTGTGAGACGCCCCTAGGCTTACTTCCAAAGTGGCCATACCAGCTTACACCGCCACCAAAACTGAGTAAGAGTTCCCTTTTCTCACACCCTTGGCCTGTTTTTTGTTGTCATTTGATTTCTTGATGATGGTCACTTACTGGTCAGAGGCGGAATTTCAAATTTAATTTGCACTTACTTACCTTGTGGCTAAAGATGTGAGACAATTTTTATAAAAATGGCTTTGATTATTTGTATTTGTCTTTTGCGAATTTTCTGCTCAGTCCTTAACCCATTTATAAAACTGGATTATTTATTTATTTTAGGATTTTGATGTCTTTGCGTTTCTAGGTAGTAATCCTCTACCAGAAGCATACCGTGGGATGATTTCCCCATTGTGAAGGATGTCTTGTCACTCACCAGTTCCCTTTGCTGTACGGAAGCTTTTCAATTTTGTGAGGTGCGTTTATTAGTTACTTTTGTCACTGTTGCTAGAGAAGACCCGGCAAGAGCACCTAAGGAAGTTCTGGTTTATTCTGGTTCACAGCTGGAAGACCCGGCAAGGGCACCTAAGGAAGTTCTGGTTTATTCTGGTTCACAGCTGGAAAGCACAAGGGTCAGGACAGGGACGTCAGTGTGGGAGCTCGTTTTCAGGTTTCCTAGTGGCTTTACCCAGCAGGTCTGCATGGAGAGGATGACTGGACCACGGGTCTGAGTGCAGTTACTCAGGAACAACATGCAGGTGTCTGAGACGGTCTGCACTTGGCTGTGCTGGGGGGAGGTCTTTTGCTCCACCCCTTGGCATTCCTATAAATACCCTAGGGCAGAGACAATCAGGACTGGTGGATAAGGATCCAGGCCCACCCGATTCTATCCTGTGTTTTCTCTGTTTCTTTCCTCTCTATTTCTAACTAAGTCTCATGCCTCATTCCTCAAGACTTCCTGGGGTAAATAAGCATGGGGGTTGGTCTCCCACAAGTCAGTTGGCAGGAATGCGGCAGCTGGGCACATGGCGTTCTCCCAGGAAGCTGGGTACGAGAAATGTTAGGGCTCATATGCCAGTTACACAGGTCTTCCTACCTCAATTCATTTTATCTAGTTAATTCCCTAAAGGCACTCTGAGACACTTGTCTCCCAGGTAATCCTAGAGCCTGTCAAGTTGACGTTATCAACTATTCCAGTGTCATTTTTGACTGCTGGCCTTCTTTCCTAAGTAACTGGAGTCCTCGTCAGGAAGTCCTCGAATACGCCTATATCTTGATGTATGTATATATTTCCTCTAGCAGTTTCAGAGTTTCAGGTCTGATGTTCAAGTCTTTAAGACACTTGGAGTTAATTTTAAGCAAGGTGAGAGATAAGGATCTAGGCTTCATTCTTCTATGGGAAGATTTCCAGTTTTCCAAGCCCCATTTGCTAAGGAGGCTGTTCTTTACTACTTTCACATCTCTGTCAAAAATCACTTGGCTACAGCTGCACAGGTACAAGTCCGGAACTTTGATTTGGTGTCAGTACCATGCTGGTTTTGTTACTATGGTTCTCTAATGTAACTAGAAATCAGATATGGTGATACCTTCCACCCTTCCTTATTATTGCTCAGGATGGGCTTGGCTACTTTGAGGGCGTTTGTGTTTCCAAATGAGTTTTGACTGTTTAAAAGTATTTCTGTGAAGAATGGCATTGGATTACATTGCTTTTGGTAAGACAGTCATTTCATAATATACAGAGTCTTGTAATCCAAGAACATGGAATAGCATGGATTCTTCTAGTGTTGTTGGTTTTTTGTTTTGTTTTGTTTTTTGCTTTATTTTTAGGCAAGGCCTCACTGTGTAACCCTGCTTGATCTAGAACTCTCTATGTACACCAGGCTAGCCCTGAACTCACAGAAATCTGCCTACCTCTGCCTCCCAAGCACTGGGATTAAAGGCACAACCACACCATATCATAGTACATGAGAAATACTCAACATCATTAGACAATGGAAAATGTCAAGTATAGCCACATAAGGATCGGAGTATACAAATACAGACAACAAAAACCAGAGACTCACTCACTGTTGGTGAGATACATAACAATACAAGTAGGGGATGTGTGGAAGACATGAACTCAGAGTAAGAAATTCAGGTGTGTGACATTTACCTAGGTCTTAGTGATCATGTTGGGTGGAAAAAAAGACATAGTAATTGTCCCTCCTCTTCAATAAACAAAAAGATCAATGAAATAATGGATTTAAAAGTCTTTTCCAAATGGTAAAATGATATATAATCATTCTTATATTTATGTTTTCAATCAAGTTGTTTAAAGTAATAGAATCTTCTTTCTTAAACTATTCTATCAAAAGAGATTTTTAAATTTTTTATTAATGTAATTAATATTTTAGAGCAATATCTATGTTTTGCTGTTAATAGTAAAGTTCAGAAGACCTAGCAAGAGGTATTACTTGCTTTGCTGCTTTTTGTTGTTGTTGTTTTTGTTTTGTTTTTTTTTTTTTTTAGGGTATCTGCAGCCAGTGCTGTCCTTGAATTCACTAAGTAGACCTGGCTTCAAACTCATGGTGATCCTCCTGCCTCAGCCTCCTAGTTGTATATACTTTATAATGACTTACATTACTATTCAATGTAGTCCATCAACTGCTGGCTTTGAAGATTGAGATAGATGAAAAGAAAAAACAGTAACTGCATAAAATGGAAAAAAATCACACATGTAAAGAATATTTTAGGACTTTAAAAATAATTCTTATGTTTTCAAGAATTTAGGAATTAGAAAAGATATTGAAGATGGCTCATCATAACTCACTGTTCCAAGATCATCAGGCTATCTGGTTAAGTTTGTTCACACTATGTTTCTTGTATACGTTAAATAAAACAAATATTTTTACTGATACTTATTGCTTAACTTCTTCAATAATTTTGCTTTGTGTATCTAATAAAATTAAAGCGATTAAATATCCCTTTAAATAAGGATTTGTTTCCCCCTATTATACCTACTAACCACAAAGCTACCGTTAAGAGCAATGAAAGGTTACAGGAGGTTTGTATTCCAACTTAAAAACATAAAACGTGTAATGTTTTAGTAAACACAGTAATTCGGGATTAAAATTCTGACTTTTGAATTTTTTTCTAGTTCAATCTCTGAAAACTGAACCAGTACAGTTTATATATTAACTGGACAAGGCTGGGAGAAGCCTGAGGAGGCAATACTCCAGAACATTCTGTAATCTGTCTCACTTAAGCGTATACATTTGTTTAACAAGAAATCCCTTTACTTCATCTGCCGCACAGGACAAATTCATGTCCGTTTTGAAAATTCTCAACCGAGATTCGAAATGTCCACGAAAGGAGAATTCAGTGAGACTTTAAAAAAGTGCCTTTTTCCTTTAAAGCTACGTGCTAAAAGCTCCCCCCGCCCCCTCGGGCTCATTTCTTTACTTCGGTGTAGGTTTTCACACTGAATGGTGACTACGATCCAGGGGGAGACTTCTCCGGCGACAGCCAAGCGACCAAGAGTGCTGTTTTGAATGCAGTCAAGCATTCCTAGCCGCCGGCGAGGGAGCGCTCCGCAAGCATTTTCGCAGCTTGTTAACCGACTCCGGAGGGCAAGGTCCAGCTAATCCTTGCATAAGCAAGAAAATGACCGTTGACAACTCAATCACACACTCAGTCGCCAACTCCCTGAGCCCAGCAGTCCTCGCCTCTTTGCAGCCAGCTTCCGATCGGCTGCAAAAGCTCAAGGCCCTCCCGCCCCAACGGCGCCTGCGCGAAACCTCCACCTCCTCAAACCCTTTCTCAAGAGCAGTCCACCGGGGCCGTTTTAAAAGTTATTATCAGGTTACGCCTCACTTAAAAAAAAAAAAAAAAAAGAAGTACGACAGAGCACACTAGAACGACCACTCACCGAAGTGGTCCTAAATGCAAACGGCAGGTTTTAACTCTCCTCTCGCGACTTATCTGGTGCTGCCGGAAGCGGAACTAGCCGGGTCGGTGTTTGGGTTGGGGGCCGGGGGGAGTGAGCTGTGGAACAGGAAAGCTCAGGCGGATCGTTGGCCCGGCGGAAACCGTCCCGGCCGGTGCAGTTTCCGTGTGAGACCGGTGGAGGGCAGGCCGGGGAAGAGGCGTGTCGGAGACTCCCGAGGTGTAGCCGTGCCCGCGGTTCCGCTGTTGCCGAAGAGGGAAGATTCAGGTCCACGCCTCCGTGAGCCGCCTCTGCCCAAACACCTCACCCTTGCCCCCGCGATTAAAGGGGAGGAACCGAAACCTGGATGGGCTCAAGCATCTCCCACAGAGCGCTTGATGACCGCCGCCGAGGCAGGTGAGGACCCGGAGCTCGGTGGAGAACCGGAGCCAGACCCGATGGGCGGAGGCTCACTGCCGCCTCTAGGTGTCTGCTTTGTCTCTACTCCACTCTGCGGACCCTAGACACGTGCTCTTGCAAGAGACACGGACCGTGGCGAATGACAACGTGGTCTGGGAGGAGTGACAGTACAGCCCCGGGGTCCTTTTCAGGCTTGACTTCTCTTGCACTTCCCGCCTCGCTTCCCCTTTCCATTTCTTGGGTTTGAAAAAGCCAGAAATTGCAGTTCAGCTAGAAGGGAGCTGCCTAACTTCTAACTGAGGTGTGTGTGCAGCGTTGTTTGGATTCTGCTGTGGGGAGAGGTGGCTGTGTGATTCCTTAGTCTCCATCACCCTGCCTGCCTTTGCTTTCCACACCCACTTTCAAAGAACAAAAGCCCTGTGAGCCCGCAGCTTCGCAGGGTGAGATACGACGGGTTGCAGGTCAATGCCGCACCCGCACCTTATAGATTAGACGGCCTTGCGTCTTCCCATGTAGGTAATGACCTTTGTATATCATCCTCGAGGTTCTGGGCAACTTCCTGAGAGTTACCATTCTTGGAGTTATGTGGTAGTGGTTGTCTTGTTTCAGCGTCCTAGAAGTCTTAGCTGTAGAAGTAGGAAGCATGGCTGACTCCAGCATTAGCGTCCTAGCCTACCCTGGGACAGGGTTTTGTTCGCTATTACAGTTTTAAAAAACGGAAATATGTGGTTTTAGAGCGATAACATGATGATAGCTACTATTTAATGCGTAGCAGCCAAATGCTTTGCACATGTATTTTCATCCAGTCTTTCACGAGTTCCGTGAAGGTTGTTAGATTATTCCTTTTTTTTTTTCAGCTGGAAAATGGAAAGTTAGTGAGGTCATGTAACTTACCCTAGTAACATTTTGCTACGAGTAAACCTTTGAAGCTTTACTAGAAAGTAGATCTGAATCCAACATCTGCATTCTATTGTCCTGCCATTATTCTCGTTATGACGATTTCTTCACTAACAATTTCAGTGGCTGAAAGTTATATTTGTCCATTTAAGAAAGCACATAGTGTGCTTTTTTGTGTCTGACAAATGACAGCCATGATCTCCATGCAACTTCTGTGTGTGATGTAGAATTAAGTATTTCAGAACCTCAAATATTCCTTGCGATATAGACTGTTAAAAAATACAAGTGCTGAAGCTGATGAAGGGTCATAATTGTACAATCAAAGCTTGCTATTTAAGTGTTGGATCAATGTGATTTGTAGATTAAGGGTATTAAACTGAACATTATGAGGGTATTAAATTGAGCAATTAATAAAATGTTGACTCTAATACTAGACATATAAGCAGTTGGTGCAGTCTTTCCAAAAATTTGAAATGTTTGCTGATTAAAAATAAACCCTTGAGCTCTCATAGAAACAGATCATTGGAAAGAGGTTTTATGGAACTTGAAGGGTGGGGAAAGGTAAAGCTATGTGTTTGGGGTTGATAGACAATGCATGAGAATTGTCTGGGAAACATTCTTTGAAGTCTTCCGGTTGTTTATTTCAAGGAGAATAGGAACTTCCAGACCAAAAAGCTGACTCAGCAGAAAGGTGAATTCCCAACAGAAGAGCTGACTCAGGAAAACAAGCTGTATACCTTTTGAAGAGGGAGGGGAATCAGTGCCAGAGCTGTATGGAACTTGGAACAGGCTTGGTCTGTATAATCAAAAAACTATTCTAGCTTGCCTTTGCTAGACTGAAGAAGCCAACATTGAACTCTTTATGTAGCTTCTTCTTAGTGTGCTGGAATTAGCTACTATTTATAACAATGTTTCCCCTGGAAAATGTTCTGTGGATCTCAGGAAACCGGTTATGTTTTTGTGTTCTGGTTCAACAACCGTTATTGGAGTTCTAGTTTCCTTAGTTGGTTTTTTGTTTTGTTTTGTTTTTAAGTGGAAATTTACTCCTTGGTGGCTGGATTTTAGTGGAATCTATGGGAATGATAGCTTGAAAGATCTTTTTAAGGGAGTTGTAAATACAGTTCAGGACTGATCATTTATCCAGGGTGTTATTTTAAAGGACATAACTCTACCCAGTATCAATGAACTGTTTATCCAGGGCAGTAGATAGTCTAGTCAGGAGCAGCGCAGTTAAGACTGGAGTGCTGTAACAAGGGCACCATAAGCAGCAGCAGGAGAGGATCTGAGCTGGCCATCATCCTCTGCCAGAAGGTACACTCTAAACTTAGCTGAGTTTAGAATTTTTTTTTTTTTGTCAGTTAAAATAAAGTCAGAAACTTCTTCTTTATAACCATAGTTAGCCACTTACAGAAACAGCTGATGTTTTACTGAGTCCTTAACGTATGCTAATTGTTGTGGCACGTGCATTCTCATTTAATCTTCAAAACTATGGGATTTATAACCCCATTTTATCTGGTGGCTAGAGCTGGGCAAAACATAAAGAGAGCTGAGCCAGTGTGTGTGTTGGGGGGGGGGGGGCAGTTGAAGTTTTGCTAGAGTGGAGCAGTTCTCAAAGTGAGACTCTATGCAATGTCAGCATCACCTTGGAGTTTTAGGAGGGCGGAATCCTGGGCTCAGCCCTAAATTTTCCTGGTTGAGATCTGAGTCCACCAAGTGGTTCTGATATATGTTCAAGTTTTCAAGTTGCTGCTTGGCATGTATGGGAACTAGTAAATGGAACACATTTCAAATTTGGAAGCCAGTGTTAAGTCATTTTAATTTTTTGCACTCATCTCAAACGTAGCTGCTTGTCTGTTTGTTAAAATACAATTTCTCTTTAAGAATTCCTGCTCAAAACTTTTGTGATAGGCCAGTAATGTGTTTATTATTGGTGTTTATTGGTGTAACCAGTCCATTTGGGGACCATTGCTACAAAAGGAATCTTAAAACTAAAGAAAGATTCAATTCTGATATTTGAATAATTTATAGATCTTTCAGACTAGGCAGTAACTGTCACTTTGGAAATTCATGAATGAACATTGATCAAATTGTTGAGTATTGATTGTGTGATGATATGACCACAATCAGTGCAAGTTGTAGATTTCAAGTGAAATAAGCATTGAGAATGCTCTAGATCTCAGATTCTCATTAAATTCAATTTTGTGGGAGACTGTATACCACTTGAGAGGGAAAAAACTTATTCAATATTTTTGAGTACTTACTAAACATCTGCAATAATGTGGTAAAGAACTATGAATTTTTTTTTTTTTGCTTGTATTAGTGACCTTAGGTTTAAACAGACCTGGCTTTTGCAGATTTTTTGATTGATTATGTGATCATTGATTGGTTGATTTAATATAGTTTAAATTTTTGGAATACTTAGGCCTCATGTTCAGTATTATTGAAATGATAAACATTTATCTATGTACTTTAAATATTTATAAGATGGGGAAAATATCCATAATCAAAGATGATTTGAGAGCGTTTATTCACAAAGCAGTAATTGCTTCTTAACTTTTTCCATTTTAAGGCATACATTGAAAATGAGTCTCTTTGCTGTATCATAGGGAAAACCGAACTTAGTGCTGCTCAAGTTATCTGAGTAGGGCTCATAGCCATATGAATGGCTCAGACAATTTTTGAACATGCCTAATTTTACATTCATGGTTGAGCAACATGTTAGGAAGCTCTGCATTAAAAAACTAAGTCTTTAGCACATAAAAACATTCAGTAAAGTTTCACCTTGAGGTTTATATTTGCAGAGCTGTATACAGCTGAGATTATTAAATAATAAGACCGTAGGTCACTTAGGCCGAATGAATGATAAAGGGAATAAATTTTGAATATGGGAAATTTTGTGGAGAAATATTTATATTGAGATAAGCCAAGCACCAGGAGGACAGAGATTCCATACTTTATCAGTTTTAGATCCTTTTATTACAGAAGATAATCTGATTTCTTATAATAACAAACTTCCTAGTCATGAAAGTGGTGAACATGTGGTTTGCTTCCTTATGCTTTCATTATTTTACTCTTTTCCCCTTCATTTTTTTTTTTTTTTTGGCCGGGGGAGGTAGTCCATGACTAAACTTGATTGCTTGTTGGAACTGCTTGGGAAACCTTAAGAAATACCCAGGTCCTACTCAAACATTCTCATTGGTGTGGAGTTTTCCCCAATTTGGGGTGTGGATACCTTTAATGTATGTATGTATATTTAACCCTTACATGGGCTATGACAAGTACAGTTTACTTATATAGAAATTGAGGACCCAGGAGATCAAATACAATTAATTATAAAGGACAAGAATCCAGCTTAGGTATTTTGACTCTTAAGTTCTTATTTTTAAGCGTTGATTGGTTCAGCTTTTTAATAATCTCTCTCATATATTGAAATAGAATTACAGGAAAATAAATGGAAGCATTACCCAGCCTTATATTCTTTTGAGGGCTAATTGCTCTGCCCACCATTATAACACAGTTCTTTACAGTCTAACCTGCCTGCCTCTTCTGCGTCACCTGTTTTTTCAGGTGCAGTTCAGAAAGTGATAGTTACC